CAAATTTTCCTTTTCATTTCTAACTTTTAAATATGTATCTTTAAAATCTCAATAAAATATTGTAAAACAACAGCGATGGGTGCACCTTTGGAAGACACGAAGAACCAGGTTGGGACAAATCATCCTGGAGAAAATCTATCTACCTGGTTCCTAAGAGCTAACACGGATTCAGTGGCACACCACCATTCAGTTAAGCATATTATGTCATGCGTGTGTTCTGAGCCCAGCGATAGCCTAGAGGCTGAAGAATACTGTTCAAGAACAAAATCAGATTTATTTTTGCATATCTGCAGGACACTGGTGGCAGGAAGGAAGAAGTAGGACTTCTCAGATCATCAGCTATGCCCATTTATTATTATTATATTTTTAACCTGCCTTTTAAACAAAATGGTCAACTGAAGGTGGCAGACATACCTAACACTCCTGCCTCCTATTTTCCCCACAAAAACAACCCTGCGAGGTGGGCTGGGCTGAGAGAGAGTGAGTGGCCAAAGTCACCCAGCGGGCTTTCATGCCATCTCCTGGTTTCTAGGCCAGCACCTTCACCAGGACACCGAACAGACACTCAGTTTAGAAGCCTGTTGGCAGTTCTGGAGCCCCCCTCTTTTGCAAAAGCCAAGCTGTACCAAGGCAGGAAGGGAGACCCAGCACAGCAAGCAAGGGTAGAATTTCAGCCTTTTCCACCGAGGGGTGCACAATGGACTCCTCCGCCGGAGGGTCCTCCTTTAGAAGAACGTCGCGTGGGGAGCTCTGCCCCTGCTCGGAGGGAGACAGCCAGGTGGCCCATTATTTCAGCTGACCTGGAAAGGGTTTTCCCTGGCGTTCCTCTGGCTGATCTCGAGCGGGGGGAGCGCCGTCTGAGCGTAGGACAGACTCACCTAGCGCGGCCACGTTGCGCACCTCCCCGCGGGCCAGCTCGGCGGAGCCGAGGACCCGGAACCAGCCATTGGGGTAAACGGGCGGCAGCTGGCTGGTCCGCCGGTTCTTGCGCGTCCGGCCGGCGCTCTGCGCGCGGGTCCAGCCGGGCTCAGTCAGGTAGCCCACCTGGTCCAGGGGGCGGATCACCCGCTTGGGCCGTAGCGCTAGCACCGCCAGGGCAAGGCCAGCCGCGGCCAGCGCCAGCAGGGGCGGCAGCGCCAGTAGCAGCAGCAGCAGCGGCGGCGGCGGCGGGGCGCGCAGCAGGAGGGCGGCAGCGGCGCCCGCAAAGCCCACCAGGAGCGCGACCAGCCTCATCCTGGAAAGCCCGTCCGCGGAGCGCCCGCTGCGCCGCATCCGCGCGCCTCTTATAGCTCCTGCCGGGACGGGGGCGGCCTCGTCTCTCAGCCGCCCGCTG